AAAAAAAAAATAAAAATAAAAAAGGGAGATTCAGCCACAACACCTGGTACTTTACTGAAACACAACTTGGCCTCAATATTCATTGGATAATGGGTTTGTTTGCCCTGAGAATAGCATCTTTGACTTCAATATCTTTAAAGACTTCAATAATTTCCTCCAAAGCAATGGCAGATGGAATGGAATCCCCCATCTTCCAGCCTTTCCCTCCCTCCACTCTGGCCCTGTCCTATGCAAAGCATTGCCGAACACCTCCCTGTGGGTGCTGAGCTTCCCACCTGTCTTCCCTCCTCCAGCGAGTCCTCCAGCTTCACCCCTAGACCTCCCAACATGCCCCCAGAGCCTCAAGGCTTCCCCTGCCCCACCGATCCCTTCATGTTCCCTTCTTGGTCTGAGGCTGTGTTAGCCTCCCCCCCCCCCAACATTCTCAACTCTTATTAAAAGGGGTGATAGGGACAATGGTCAAGCCTCTGAAATTGCTTCTGGCTGAACAGGGTCATCGTCCTCCTCAGTGGGATCAGTCAGGTGTTAGTAGGATTGTGTTTGGGGTACATTAGGAGAGGGTTTGGGAGTGGTAGAAATTGGGTGGCAACTGAGGTTGACATCTTTTTTTTTTTTTGCAGATTTTGGCCAGGGCCAGTTTTGAACCCACCACCTCTGGTATATGGGGCCAGCGCCCTACTCCTTTGAGCCATATGTCATGCACCACATGTACATATCAGTGCAATAGGCCTCGTTCCTTTACCATCTTGAATAACTGAGGACAGGAATTGGATGACACAGGGACAAGGAAGGGTTAATACCAGGAGGATTGAAGTGGGGAGGCCCAAGAGGAGTAGACCCAGCCTCTTTGGGGGGGCTGTTGAGCCAGAATCCCTCATTCTGAGATCGCAGGTGGGTATCTTGCTCCTGCAGCCAAGTGATGTCCTCTTGGACCAGACCAGACTTGTTGGTGTGAAAAAAAGTGCAAAGGCCCCCTTCCCCAGCTGAGAGTAGATTTAACCCTCTAAGATGGTTGTGGGGGGCGGGGGGTAACTAGAAAGTAATAAAAGTATGAACAAGATAGTTTATTTTCTAGAGAACTGAGAAACTGTGGAATATAAAGGGGGGGTGTATTTTATTTATTATTTTAATTAAGCTCACACCTATAATCCCAGCACTCTGGGAGGTGAAAGCAGGTGGATTGCCTGAGCTCGTGGATTCAAGACCAGCTTGAGCAAAAGTCAGACCCCATCTCTCAAAATAGCTGGGCATTATGGCAAGCACTGTAGTCGCAGCTACTCAGGAGGCTGAGGCAAAAGAATCCCTTGAACCCAAGAGGTTGAGGTTGCTGTGAGCTGTGACATGACAGCACTCTATCAAGGGCAACAAAGTGAGATTCTGTCTCAAAAACTAAAGAGTGGTGCCTGTGGCTCAGTGAGTGGGGCACCAGCCCCATATACCGAGTGTGGTGGGTTCAAACCTGCCCCATACCAAACTGCAACAGAAAATGGCTGGGCGTTGTGGTGGGCACCTGTGGTCCCAGCTACTCGGGAGGCTAAGGCAAGAGAATTACCTAGGCCCAGGAGCTGGAGGTTGCTGTGAGCTGTCACGCCACAGCACTCTACTGAGGGTGACAAAGTAAGACTCTGTTTCTAAAAAAAAAAAAAAAAGGGTGGCACCTGTGGCTCAGTGAGTAGGGCGCTGGCCCTATATACTGAGGGTGGCGGGTTCAAACCCAGCCCCAGCCAAACTACAACAAAAAAATAGCCAGGCATTAAGGCAGGCGCCTACAGTCCTAGCTACTCGGGAGGCTAAGGCAAGAGAATCGCCTAAGCGCAAGGAGTTGGAGGTTGCTGCGAGCTGTGACTTTACAGCACTCTACCAAGGGTTAATAAGTGAAATTCTGTCTCAAAAAAAAAAAAAAAGAAAAGAAGGAAAATAAATTAATTAATTAAAATTGATTAATTAAAATTTAGGAAAAGTAGAAGACATG